GTGGGAAGCCGAGCACCAGGACGACGGCGATCTCAACACCCTGGCCAGTGCCTTAGAGGAGATGGGCAAGAGCGAGATGCTGGTGGTCATGGCCACGGAGGGGGACTGCTGATGATGCTCCCCACGCCTGGGGGGCCGGGAGGACGAAGCAGGGGGTGAGGAAGGGTCCTCCCCCCATGGCAGGGGGAGGCACATCCGTCCTGAGCGGGGACGGGCCGAGGCCGGCGCTTCTCCCGCATCACTGTCAGCCTTAGAGACCCATCCTCAGCGTTTACAAGCAATTCAAGTGTTAAACAGCATCCCTCCTCAAGGCACCGGGGAGGAATTAGGGCTTCTCGAGTTGGGATGGGGGCTTTCCTTTTCCTTCTTCTTTTTGGGTTCCCTTCCTCCTCCTGTAATTGCATTTCTGCGTTGAAGAGACGAATACAATCCAGGCTTAACTTCTGTCAAAGGCTTCAGGCAGCTTAACGAGGCAAATAGGAAAGAAAAAAAAAGTTAAAAAAAAAAAAAGTTTCTTAGGAAACGCAAATAATTTATTATCCAGATCTTTGGATGTGTCCTTTTTAAAAAAAAAGAAAAAAAAAAGAAAAAAAAAGACAGATTTATAAATCTTTTTTTTTTTTTTTTCGGTGTGCGAGAGCAAGAGCGTCGCTGTGGTCAGGGTGGCAGAGAGAGAGATTTCAATGGACACACTTTTGTAAGGAAAAGCGTGTGATCCAAGTTGAGAAAAATGTGTTTACATGTCCTGGCACCCCTAGGGAGTCTGGAGGGTGAAGTGCCTCTCCTCCCCTCTGGTTCAGGGCCAGCTCAGACCCTTCCCAAGGCTTTTGTCCTTGCAAGCTCCCTTTTCCCTGCAGCAGGAATGATGGGTCCCACTCCGCCTGCAAGGAGGGATGAGGGATGATGCCCTCTATTTAGGGTTCAGGGTGGGGAGAGTGCATCCAGATGTGGGTATTTGTAATGAATTCTTCCCTGGCATGGTTTGGGGGAGCTTTTTAGGATGACTGCGCCTTCATTTACATAACTTCAGTACAAACCAAAGATTTCAGTCCTGCGCCAACCTCCGGACTCGAGGCTAAAGGGGGAGATGATGTAAACCCAGCAGGATTTTGCGGTGAGCACCCCCAAACCTGGGCTTGGGGGTCAGAGGGAGGCGATGAGAGGGTGTGGAGGGGTCAGAGGAGAGCAGGGGCTGGCATGTGGCCAGGCCTCCGCTTCAGGTCCCTGCACTCCTGCCTGGATTTTGATGCAGCGTTTCAGCACGGATTCAGGGAGGTGTCCCTGAATGTCCTCTGGTGTCCCCAAGCTGCGAGCCAGGCTGAGCATTTTCACACGAGGTGATGGCAGTGTGTGAGCAGTGCTCAGGCTTCCATCCCTCACTGCAGCTCCTCTTTTTCCTTGGAATAGGTTTTCTGTAGCGATGGAGAAGCTGTGGGGTAATGGAAAGCAATCGAGTGGTAGGCAGGAACGAGGTTCCTCACACCAGACACGGTGTCATGATGAAGGTAAAAAATTTAGGTTGCCTGCAGGTAGAAATAGTTACTCGCTTGAGTGCTGTATCTTAGAAATTTGTCTGTTTAAAAAAAAAATAAAATAATGAAATAGGAAGGGGGTGGTAAGCTCAGGATTAGACTAGGTCACACAGCCAGGCTGTGGATTCTCCATCGGTGGAAGTATTAGGAGCATGTCCTGCTCTGGGCTGCAGAGCCCTGGGTCAGCGTCGTGGAATGCCTGTGGCATCCCACAAAGTGCTGGGCACAGGAGCACACTCAGGGAGCCTGGAGAGCATCACCTGCACCAGGCAGCTCGGGAGGAGCTGTCAGTATTGCTGGGACATGACAGGATTCCTCTGGGCAGCTCCTGAGGCACTGATGGAAAGCACGGAGCTGCTGCCTGCTGTGTCTCGGGGTCCCTGGGGCTCACTTCTTGCTGGGTTTTCAAGGCTGTGGGAGGGAAGGGAACTTTTCCCCTTGTGCTGGATGGGGAAAACTGCTGCTGGGTGAGCTCCTGTGTCACGTTGGAAGGGCCTTATCCAACTTTTGGGTTGAATTTGACCATTTCTGAGACCCTCTGAGCTAAGGAAGAATAAGAAAATTTGGAGAGCAATTAAGACTTGATGGATCAAGCCAGCTGCCCGTGGTCTCGAGGGCTCCTTTCCCAGTTCCACGGTGTTCTCTGAGGGATGAGATGCTCTTTCAGGTCGCCTGGGAATCTCTCTTGCTCCCATTCTCTGGTTTATGGATCACTGCACCGGGATGTGGGTCTGTCCGTCCATCCATCCCTCCGTCCTGCCCGCGGGTGCCTCTCTCCATCTCCATCTGTGTTCATCTTCCCCTTCTTTTGGGCAGGCAGCAGCCACCTGGCTGGGCTGAAGTGCATGTTTGGGGAGATTCTCCCCGTTTTTCTGACCAGGGAACCAGGGAGGATGCAGGGCTTGTCTCCAGCTCCCAGGAGCCCTCCACACCTCCCTCCACACCCAGGGGTTTCTCCAGCCAGGCATTTTGGCAAAGGCAGCCCCCGTGGTCCGTGTCGTGCTGGCAGTGTCCATCTCTCCCTCCAAAATGTGTTTCCATATTTATATGTCCAGGGGATGGGCCCGGTGGCGTCCTCTAAACCTGCATCTGTTCATTCTGTAAACTAAAGAACTGTAAATAAAGTTTAGCATTCCTATTGTAACAAATTAATTTTTATGCAATAAATTATATTTCCTAGTCTAATAAAAAAAAAAAAAAAAAAAGGAAGGAAACAATCTGCTATCTCTCCTGTTCATCACTCACTGGTTCCTGCCGCATTTGGCATCTGCAGGGATTTGGGATCCCTGGGAGCATCCTTCCAACCTGCTGTGGGCTCCACTGCCGTGGGAGGATATTGCTCTTGGAGTCCCTGATGGAATTAATCTGGAGATTGACTGATGGTTTATTTTGGGCTCACATGGGTGCTTCCAAGGCCAGGAGATGATGGCTACAGCCGTGGCCCGTGGGCTAAGCCCCCCTGTCAAGCAGTTCATTCCCTTTCCCAAGGGATATCCTACAGAAAGCAATGCCCCTTCCAGCAAAGACCGGCATTGGGGGGGATAATTTGGGTGGGGGGAATGGAGCACGGAGCTGCGGCTGCAAGTGGAGCATCCCCGTCCCCCAGCATCCCACCTCGCTTCCTCCCCTGCCTGGGGATCACGGCTGCTCTCCTGCTTCAGTCCCAGCGAGGGAACGAAGCCAGAAGGGTTTGCAGGGATGTTCCAGGAGCCCACTGCCCCTCCCTGGGCCACTCAACCTGTTCCGGCTGGCGGGGACCAGTTTCCACCAGGAGATGGCAACATTGTCCGTGCTCTGGACAGGAGTGGGCATTCTGCAAGCAGCGAGGAAAAAAGGGGATGAAATTGTTGCCCTGCCACCGCGATGGTTATACCAAAGCCATACACATTATGTATATTATTATAGCAAATATACACATTATGTGCCCAGCCTTCCCAGCTGGGCCTTCCAGCTCCGGACAGGATGCTGGGGTAGATGCGCCTCAGGAGGGATAACCTCTTCTAAGAGTCCCAGAATGGTTTGGAAGGGATGTTATAGACACTCTTGTTCCACCCCCCTGCCATGGACAGGGAAATTTCCCATTAGACCAGGTTGTTCCAGCCTGGCCTTGGACACTTGCAGGGATCCAGGGGCAGCCACAGCTTCTCTGGGCACCCTGTGCCAGGGCCTGCCCACCCTCACAATTGCTTCCAAATATCCAGTGTATATGTGCCCTTTTATCAGTTTAAAGCAAATCCTTCTTGTCCCTTTCTTTACATCCGAATTCCTTTAGCCTCCACTTCCCACTGTGCTTTCCCTGATTGCACTAGGCCATCTCTCTAAGGGATAACTGGATATCCAAGTGGATAACTTTGACCAGCTGGTGCCCAATTCCACCTTTTGTTCTCCTGTTGAAATACCTACTTCTCTAATTCCCCTTAGAATTCAGCACATCGATCTCAGCCCCCCTGACGGGCTCAACACCAGCAGCCATCCCGTGAAACACTGTCAGGTTTATTCTGTGGGAGAGAAGACACCCAGCAGCAGCACAGGGGTGTCCCTCAACCTGCCCCCAGCCCCTGTGGGGGGCTGTGTCACTGCAGAGGGTCTCTGGAGTGTGGGGCAGTGATGTTTTCCCTCACAGTCACACCGTGCCCTCAAGGTGAGTGTCACAGTGTCCTTTGGAGGGAATCAAGGACTTCACAGTGGAACTTGTGCTGGTGAGGCATTGCAGGAGGCGCAGGGAGTAAAGGAGGAGCTCGTATCCCATCCTGCAGAAGATGCTCCCCAGTCCCCACCCTCCCATCCTCAGGAGGTGGTGTTTTGGTGACTTCTGACAAAAACTGAGCCCAGGCAAAAGCTTTTATTACTGCTGTGTGGTAAGCCAGGCTGTGATTAACACTGATTTTCACAGAATCATGGAACGATTTGGGTTAGAAGGAGAGGCCTTTTGGACCATCTTGTTGCTTCTCTGTGCCATGGGCAGAGACACCTCCCAGTAGACCAGGCTGCTGGGATGCCCATCCAGCTTGGGTTTGGACACTTCCAGGGATGGTGCAGCCACAGCTTCTCTGGGCAGCCTCTGCCAGGGCCTCTCTGCCCTCACAGGGAAGAATTCCTTCCCAATATCCCATCGATCCCTGCCCTCTGGCACTGGGAAGCCATTCCCTGTGTCCTGTCCCTCCATCCCTTGTCCCTCTCCAGCTCTCCTGGAGCCCCTTTAGGGCCTGGCAGGGCTCTGAGCTCACCCTGGAGCCTTCTCTTGTGCAGGTGAACCCCCATTTCTCCCAGCCTGGGTTTCCAGCCCTCAGAGCAGCTCCGGGACACAATTCGGGGCGGGTGGGCGTGGCCAACACTGAGGGGGCGTGGCCAACATTGAGGCGCGTAGTCAGTATCGGGGGCGTGGCTATGAGCTGGGTGGGCGTGGCCTGCCCATTAAAGGCGGGCGGGGCGGGGCCGGGGGCCGTGAGGCGGCAGCGGCAGCGGCGGGGCCGGGAGGGACCCCCGTGAGTTCCGCGCTATCGGGGCGAGCGGGGCCGGGCCCGGCGGAGGCGGGGGGACTCCCGGGTGGAGCAGGAGGCCGCAGGGAGGGAGGGAGGCGGCGCTCCCCGCTCCTGAAATTCCCCGTTTGTTCGCAAAATCCGCGCTTTCCGGCATTTCCGCCTCCCCCGCGCTCTGCCCGGCCCCTCTGGGCGGGGGTCGGCTCCGAGGCCGCCGGTGGATCCCGGTGGGTCCCGGTGCCCCTGGCCAGGCTCCGGCGTTGTTCACAGGTGGTTTTCCTGCGGCACGTGATGCCGTGGGGCTCTGTGACTCATTTTCCACGGCCGGGTGACGCCTCGGTGGGGCTGGGAGCCGCTCCGCCAAGCCCGGCCGATGCTGTGGTAATTTACACGTCAGGCCGGCGGTGTCACTATGAGTTTACGCCTTGCTCTATGGGGCCCGACGGCGCTGTTGGTTTGGCGGCTGTCGAGGGTTGTTTTGTTGTTGTTTTTTTTTGTTTGTTTGGTTTTTTTGTGCCTGACATGAGCTAAGCGAGGTTTCTTACTCCTGCAAGTCCAAGGGGACAGGTTAATTATTAATTATGGACGGAGGTGTGGGTGGAACCTGCTGAGTCTCAGTGCCTTTCCCCGTGCCTTTGCATCGCTGGCTCACTCCTCCCGTATTTGGCTGCTTGAGGCCCTGGCACAGGGTGCCCAGAGCAGCTGTGGCTGCCCTGGATCCCTGGAAGTGTCCAAGGCCAGGCTGGACAGGGCTTGGAGCAACCTGGGATAGTGGAAGGTGTCCCTGCCCATGGCAGCGAGGTTGGAGTGAGATGGGCTTCGAGGTCCCTTCCAGCCCAAACCACTCCATGATTTGCTGGGGCCAAAGGGGGATGGAGCCACAGCTTGTGAGCAGCACTTTTGGAGCCCTGGTGTGACAATATCCTTGTGGGCGTTGTTTTTCCCAGCGTGCCAGCACGATGATCCCGGCAGCCGGCAGCTTTCCCCCGGACCAGGAGCCCCTGCTGGAGGAGCCCGTGGGGAGCAGGTACAGCCGGCAGAAGCCAAGGGACCGCTGGCATGGGGCCTACATTATCTTTTTCCTCCTGGGCATCGGGTCCCTCCTGCCCTGGAATTTCTTCATCACGGCCAAACACTACTGGAGGTACAAGCTGCAGAACTGCTCGGATGAGCCGGGCCCGGTGGGGCAGGCGGCCTCAGACCTGCGGGTGAGTGGTGCTTTTGGGGCAGGAAAAATAACCTGTTTTCCTTCCTAACTTCCTCATTTTTTTTCCCCCCCTCCACTTCCCCAGAAGGTAAGTGAATGTCCTGTAGGGTCTCACCTGCTGCAAACTGGAGGGAAAGGTTCGTTTGGTGTTTATTTATAAATGGCTGCAGGGAAGATGCTTCAGATTGCCTTTTACCTGTATTTGGACTTCTGAGTGTTAAGGTGAATCTAAAAAAATAGGGCTTAACCTTTCATAGGGCAATTTCTGCAGTGCAAGGTGTCTTCGTGGTGGTCTTGTTTTGTGTCCTTCATGATCTGGCAGGTGTAACATGAGAATCGCCTTGCAGTGATCAACATCTGGCTTGTGGCATATGGAGCGGGGCGCTTGCCATGGGGGTGATGGATGAGGCAGCCTTGGGGTGGCAGGTTAATGGCCTCTTTCTGTCCCCAGAAAGGCTGCTTCCTCTTGCTCCTCCTGCCACAGCAGGATTATTTCCCTGTGCCTCCCTGACAAAGCTGTGGGTTTGTTTCTTTACGGCTGGAAGAAGCATTGGCATGATGAGGCAGCATCACATCCACCTCTCGTGGCAGAGCTTGTTCAGGTGGTTTGGGCACTTTTTGTTTTTATATAAACACAGGGCCAGGTGTGATGACCGCCTTTCCCCTTGGATTTCTCACTCCACTGCACCCACAGCTCTTTTAATTTTCCTAGTTCTTAAGTGTCAGCTGCTTTTTTTGATGGGGAGGAAGGAGAGTGCTTATACCAGTGCTTATATGCTACAGGTGTGCTGCTGTAAACCAAGAAACTGAATTAAACTGAGGGTGCCCAAGCTCCTGCACTGCCTGAAGGCCAAAATTGTGTCTGTGCCAGTGAAGATGCTCAGAGAGGGGTGAAGGGTGCTCTGTCACCACATGGCACGGTGTTCTCTCATATTCCCTGCATCCCACATGTTCCTCACTGCCATCATGCTGATCCTCTTGGAAAAAAAAGCTGGGTTTAAGTAAAGAATGTTAAAGCACAGCTGTATTCCTGGCTGGATCAGACACTTCTTTGCTGAAAAGGTGTTTTTCCTCTTCTTGTGTGGCCATGGAGCGATGCTGTTTCCTTTCTCCACGGAAAAGTTACGTGGCTGTCCTGTGGCAGTCAAGTGTCATCAACATCGAGCCAGCCAGCCCAATTTGTGCCCTGCTGCTGCAGCAGGAGGGTTTACCTGCACACAGAGCTGGACTCTGGAAGGATGCACCTCTGACTGACAGCCTGCTCCTGGCTCCAGCCTTTTCACTGCTGCTAATTTCACGCCCCGTGCCTTCAGCCACCGTCACGGACCTGGATTCCTTTTCCAGCCTGGCAGGAGCCCAGCTGCCAAGTCTGGAGCAGAATAGAAACTGCTTTGCGAAAGCATCTTGTGTCAGGTTTGCTACCAGGGTGCTTTGTTTGGGTTTGGGGCTTTTTAAGGCATCGTGGGAGCCTCAGTGTTTGAAGTTAATACGGGGTTAAACACTTCCATTATGTGCCTCATCTCCGTGGCTGAGGAATGACACCTTCCCCCCATTAGACTTGGATGTGGGAGGCAGATGTCGGATTTGCTTTGGGGTTTATTTCAAGGGCTCAGCAGAAAGGGAGAAGGACTGGGTATATCCTGCAGTGCCAAAAACGAAAGCATATCTATGAAGGGTGGGAATACCCAAAGAGGCAGAAGAGTTGCCATTGGAGATGGATTAAAACCTAACAAGCAAGAGAGAGGAAGATGGAACCTGGTGTTTTCCACTGGCCTAGGCATGGATTAAATTTGCCACCCACCATTCCACTGCTTCATTAAAAATGTGGTGCAAAGGCTCTTAAGTACTTGCCCAATTCTCTTCTCACTGCTGGTGTGAGCCCGTTGACTGGGAATGAATGAATATTTCCCTGGGATGCTCAAAGCGCAGCATCTCTGCTGGGTTACATCAAGTACACTCCTGCTTGGTGCAAAGCATTAGAAAGTCATTTTTTCTTCCCCAGAAGCAGAAGCAAATTAACTTGGAAGTTTATTGAGTATCCCCAGGATGGTTTGGAGGTTTGTTTTAAGTAGGTGGGTAAATAAGCTGGAGTTCTAGCAGCCAGCTTTGCATTTTGCTTTGTCTTTTCTCTTAAGATTCATCGTGTGGCTGCAGATCTTTGAGCCTCCTGCTTGGCTGAGCTGATGCCATAAGCACAGGCATTTAAGTCTCTGCCTATCTGGACCCTCTAGGAATGATTATTAGATTTCCTGTTGCTTCCAGTGAAGCTCTTGATAAGGAAGAAGAGACAAACGTGCTTGTAAACTGATTAAAAATGATGCGAAGCTGTAAAAAACAATGAACTCTGCGGAGAAAACCTGCCAAGTGTGTTCTCTCCTGGTTGGACATGATGAGACCCCATCTTTGTAGCTGGATGAGTGCAGAAAGTGAAAACCTGTCGTGATAGGAGTGGACATGTAGGTCATCCTCCCCTTTGTGTGCATCATCCTACCTGCTGCCTGAGATTCCTGCAGCAGAAAAATGGGATTAAGCCCCTCGAGGGGAGGAGAGGGAGCAGACACGCTTTGATGGTGCACAGCACCATGGCAGCTATTTCCTTTCACTGTTTATTTCCTTCTGAATTTATGTCCCTGATTCCCTGAAATAGCCCAGGGCAATGGGAGGGCAAATCCCAGAATTCCCATTGCCCTGAGCAATTTGCAACACGGGCTGCAACACAATAAGGTGGACACCTACACTGTAACTCCTTGTTGTGCCATATTCAAGAATGAAATTCATGTCTTGTTCCTCCCTACAGTTTTTTTACTTTATTTTGGGTTTGTTTTTCTCTGGCAGGACTACTTTGAGAGTTACATCTCCATTGCTTCCACTGTGCCCTCAGTGCTGTGCCTGATTGGAAACTTCTTGCTTGTCAACAAGTAAGTGTTGCTCTGATCCCAAGTGCCTGAGCCACATTTCTCCCTGGCTTTGTTCCTGTCTTCTTTCCAGCTCAGGCTGCCCTTTCCTCAGGGTGATACCACGGGGCATCCTGAGCTCAGCCTCCCTGTGCAGCCAAAATTCCCTTCCTTGCCCCTGCCTGAGTTGCAGCCAGCTGAGATGAAGTGGGAGCAGCACCTTGCTCCACCTGTGTTGGCTTGAGTAAATAAATTCCTCAGTTAATTGCTTGGAAATGGTTTTCCCTCTTAAAAATACCTTTATTGTCTTCAGGGAACTGGTTGACCAAAGCCAAGCTCGTCCAGGTAGGAGCAGCACCTTGCCCTGGTTTTACCAGCCCTTGAACTGGGATAAGAAATGGATCAGCTGCACCTTGTTACAAGCTTGGCTTAAATCTCAAACAGCTTCACTGTGCCTTCATTTTTACCCTTCCTTATCCTGTATCAAACTCCTGCGTGGGTTTGCATGCCTAATCTCCAGATTCCAGCTCCTTGCCTCACTGCTTCCCCATCTCCTCCCACCTCTCTTTATTTTCTCTGCCCTTTCTGCCAGCACAGGAATTGTCCTCCCATGTGGAACCTTCGCCTTGTGGTTTGAAGCACAGGAGTGATTTCTTCCCCTTGTCCCCAGGGTTCCTGCCAGTGTCAGGATCCTGTCCTCTCTCTTTGTCATGCTGGCTGTTTTCCTGGTGATCACGGTGCTGGTGAAGGTGGACACCTCCGCCTGGACCACGCGCTTCTTCGCCCTCACCATCGGCTGCGTGGCCGTGGTCAGCAGCGCCTCCACCGTCTTCTCCAGCAGCCTCTTCGGCCTGAGCAGCTGCTTCCCCATGAGGAACCTGCAGGCTCTGATCTCAGGTTGGGTGAGATCCCATTGGGATCGTGCTCTTGGACTTTCCCTGCTCGGCTCCGTGGTGTTCTCTCTCCTGCCTCTGGGGTTTTGTCATGTGGGGTTTGTTGTAGAAGCTTAACTTTGCCCTAATGATAAAGGGAAGTTGCTGAAGGAGAAACTTGCTCGGTCACGTGAGCTTTGGTTTCTGTAAATAGCCATAAACTGACCCTGGAGAGTTGCTGGGTGCAGGGAGAAAGGAGGGAAGGAGATGCCATCCCCCTGCCCTGCCATTTCCAGCAGAGGGATCTGCAGCTTTGCCTTGTCTGCTCCTTTCTGATCAGCATTTCCATGAGTGATGAGGGGCAGGTTGGGAGCTGTGAGTGATGAGCTGCCTGGAGCTTTGATAACATTGTAAATGTGCTGTGCAATGGTTGACAAACCAAGAGGAGAGGGGGGAAAAAATCAGGGTGGTGAAATTTTTCCTGGGGCCAAGACAGGAGTGTTTTAATGAGTTTCTCAGAGAAGGAAAGCACCACATCCCTGAGGAGGCACTCCTGCCACCACTGGCTTGAATTTCCATCTGGGGGAGTGCAGAAGAGAAGCTGATTATATGCATGCCAGTGGAAAGCCAGGTTTAGGCTTTGGAAGTGGTTTGGACTCTTTCTGTGGGGCTGGGGACCTGCAAGCCCAGCAGGTTGGGTCCCATCCTGACCCCTGTGTGTGCTGTGTTGGAAGGGGGTGCAGGTTGGCACCTGGGCTGTGGTGCAGCCCCACACATACCTGAGGTGTGGCTTGTGCATGTGTGGGGCAGGGCCTGAGCTGTGTGCCCTGGGGACCTGTGCGTGTCAGAAGAGGAATTTCTGGGCTCCCCCTCTTGTTGTCTGCCCCTCATTGTACCCACCTCTGTTCCCACACTCAGGCCAGGCCATGGGTGGCACCATCAGCGCCGTGGCCTCTCTGATAGACCTGGCAGCGGCGGCCGATGTCACCGACAGCGCCCTGGCCTATTTCCTCACCGCCGACATCTTCATCGTCGTCTGCATCATGGTCTACCTGCTCCTGCCCAGGCTGGAGTACTCCAGGTGTGTGCCAGCCTGCCAGGGGCACCCCGTGGAGGGTTTGCAGTGGCATTGCTGGGGGATCCATGGGACGCTGGCCGGTCCCTGCCCCGTCACCGCCGCCAGCCACGCTTCCCCTTTCACCGAAACCGCAGGCTGAAACTGGGCGCGTGCTGAGTTTCTGCCAAGCTTTCCCAGGGCCGCTGGTGCTGGCGTTCCCAAAATGTGTGGAGTCAGCAGAGAGCCCTAATCCGAAGGCAGCCAGCCAGGAATGTCCCCATATCGTGGGTGCCACTGGGATGTGTGTGACCCATTGGTGCTTGTAGCCCGCAGAGCCGTAGGCAGGCAGCAGGGGGCTGTGAGCACTGAGGGTGCAGAGAGATGGGGAGAGGGGATGGTGGGCTTACCTGTGTCTCCAGCTTCTCTCCTGTCCTCTCTGCAAATTTCAGTTGCATTTCCCCCATGCTTCCCTCTGTCTCCAGGTATTACCTGGGCAGCCAGAAGGAGAGCCCCTCTCTGGTCACGGTGCCCCCTGACAGCTCCATGGAGGCCGAGGCAGAGCCCCGAGGCACCGTGAGTTCCTCCTTCCTCGAAAGAAGCGCTGGCATCCCCCCACTCCGCCCCATCCTGCAAAAGACCGCCCTCCTCGGCTTCTGCCTCTTCTACGTCTTCTTCATCTCCATCATCATCTTCCCCTCCCTCTCCTCCAACATCGAGTCTGTCAGCAAAGCCTCGGGAAGCCCGTGGAGCAGCAAGTACTTCACACCGCTCACGTGTTTCCTCCTGTACAACTTTGCTGACTGGTGCGGGAGGCAGGTCACCGCCTGGATCCAGGTGCCTGGCCCCAAGAGCAAACTGCTGCCTGCCCTCGTCCTCCTCAGAACCATCTTCCTCCCTCTCTTCATCCTCAGCAACTACCAGCCCCGGGCTCACATCCAGACCGTGGTGTTCAACCGGGACATCTACCCCGTGGTCTTCACGGCGCTGCTGGGGCTCAGCAACGGCTACCTGGGCACGCTGGTCATGGTCTACGGCCCCAAAATCGTGCCCAAAGAGCTGGCTGAGGCAGCAGGGGTGGTGATGACCTTTTACCTCGTGCTGGGGCTGGCTCTGGGGTCTGCCTGTGCTGTTTTTGTGGTGCATCTCGTGTAGATGGGCAGAAGGAGGAGGATGCCCTCAGTTTGTGGTGCTGCTGTTGGGTATTTGGGGTTTGGGTTTTATTTCCCAAAAGAGTCAGTTACCCTCTGGTTTTGAGGCAGGCTGTGCCTGTCTTGGGAGGGGGGAAGCTGCATCCAGGGGGATGCAGAGGGAAAGTCTCCCTTCTGGGAAGGGGAATCCCCTGTGCTTGGGAAGGTTCTGTCAGACACTGTCACTCCCCAGTTCAATGGAGCAGGGACCAAAACAGCTTTATCCTCCCCAGGGAGCTCAGGGAAGCACCAGGGACACAGGGATACCATTCCTTACCCATGTGCCAGTGATTTTAAGCTGAGCCTGGGGCTTTTGGGGGCACCTTGGGTTTTGCTGCCGCACTGTTACGAGTTCAGCCCTTCAGGGGTTGGGTGGTCTTTGGGTGGGATCACCCCTCACCGAGCTGTGATGGTGATGTTCAACTAAAAGGGATTTGAGCCCTTCTCACAATTTAGGGAGTGAGTAGCAGCTGCCCCAGGGATCAGGGCACAGTTTTGCACAGATTTCATACAATCATTGCACGAAAAAAACCTAAAAAAAACCATATATATATAAAAGGGAAACCACTCCACTTGGAATTTTGCTTGCTTTAATTTTTCCACGTAAAACTGAATTGAGGGATCATCTACCCCTAGCTTGGTGCCACTAGTGTTGGGGACTGTCCCCTGGCCAGAGGAGCATTTTTCCTGCTGTGACTGTGGTGTGACCCCCCCCAAGGAAAGTGAAATGCTGAGTGGGCCTAACCTGAGGTTTTTAGGGTGTCTTCAGTCTGCATTCAGAGAGCTCTGTGAGAGCCAGGGAGAGGCATGAGGTTCCCAGCAGAAATCGGGTTAATTCATGTAGACAGGCACCATATGGCCTCCAGATGTTTTCAGAGGGGTGAGCTACTGTGACACCCAAAATTATGGCCCACCCAAAGAAGACTGGCTTTCAAAGTCATTTAGACTCCCATATGCCAGCACAGCCTGGACTAAATCCGATTATAGTATTTATTTTCTCAAATTGGCTGGATTTATGGTCTAGAAGAGGTGAACTGATAAGCAAGGGTGTAATGGCAGAGCTTGGCAGTGCAGTGATGCCTCAGAGATGCTGTCTGTGGAAATTAATTCCTTTAAGACTGGGTTAGGAGCAGATGCTCCTTGACTGGGATGTTCTCTCAGCACCTCCTGCTTGCCCACGTTGTGGTGGAGCTGCTGGATGTGGGGCTTTGCTGGGAGAACAGCAGGATGCCTGCAGCAGTTGGTCAAAAAGGCCAACCTAACTTGGTGCTGGCAACCAAAAAGTCCCTTTGTGGCCTTCAGTGGGCCTGTCTTCCACCTGTGCCTTTCCCCCCAGTCCAAGGAATGATGAGATTTGGCTTGGGTTTTTTACTGCTTTGCATCTCTGCTCTTCTTCTCTGTGTTACAGACAAAATTCCTCTGGAGGGAGAACTCAATTATCTGGTACTGTTGCTAATAAAGATAATTCTTGATCCTGTGCAACTGCTGGTGTCCGGAATAATTTCTCTTGGAGATGCACTGATGCATGCAGTTTTAGCTTGCATTTTTCCTTCTGGTCATCCTTCTCTCCCAGCTTGGATTGTAAACTCAGAGAAATCCCTGGCACGGGCTGGGTGAGGGAGCCCTGAGATCACTGCAGTTATTCCAGTGGAATATCCCCAAGTGACATGCAGGTAGGTATGGAGAGCATTCCTGTGGCAGGGGGGGTGAGCAAGAAGGGGATTTATCCTTTGGTTTTGGTGGCATGCAGCTAAGGAAGGTTAATAAATGAGGGGGGAAAACCAATACAGGTGCAAAATGGGCAAGAAGCAGGTCTGGGCATAAAGCAGGGAATGCTGGTGGGAATGCCATGATATGGGGGTGGATGCTGCCAGGCCCCTGAGCCATGAGCTGTGGGTGATCCCCCTGTAAAAGGGGAGGGATAATTTATAGGGAATTGCATAGAACGGCAGGGAGGTAATTACAGTGCCTGGGAGAAGCCACATCTGCTGCTCGGCGTGGGCCTTACCAAGGAGCTCCAGGTAAGGAAAAGCGGGATGAGGAGGGAGGTGGTGGTGAGGTGGAATGAAGGCTGCTGGATCTGGGATGCACCAAAGCACAGGTCTTGTGCCTGGGGGGCTTGAGGTGGTGTCAAAAGCAGCCATTGTCCCCAGTTGCCAGGCCTGGAATGATGCTGTAGCCAGGAGGAGCACTGTAGGGATCCAAGCCTGCTTCATGACATTTAGCTGGGAGATAACACTGCCTTCTAGTTCTCCAAGAGCTTCCCAAATGGGAATTGCTCCCCAGAACTGAGTTCCAGGGAAAGACCCTGGGTGTGGGCAGGGCTGGAGCTGAGCTGGCTCCACATGTCTTCCTCACCTGCCAAAAAATGCATTCCCAGGTTTTGTTTCTGTGATTACCACATCCCCTCAGCCAGCAGCTCTGTTTTCCCATCTCCCAGCCGAGGAAGGTGGGTGTTGATCCGGCTGGCATGGCCAGGGCCACGTGGTTCCCACAGGGCTTGGCCCCCTCTCATCTCTGGGTGTAAAACGAGCTGTGCAGGTGCTGCAGAATTCCGGAGGGCGAGCCCACAATGCGAAACGGAGTCAAAGACACAAATCCCTGCGTGGTGCCCAGCACTTGCTGGCACTGTGACCTGGGGTTTGGAGAGTCCCAGTCCTTCCAGGCCTGGCAGCCCAGCACAGAAGGGATGCTGTGTCAGCCTTTGGAGTTCAATCCAACCGGCCAAGGGGGAAAGAAAGCTGGGAACTGGCAAAGCAGCAGCAGCAAAGGCAGCAGGGGGCAAGGGAGAAGGAGGGGAAGGGATGAAAGGGCACCAAGTGGAGGAAGCGCATCTGCTGCTGCTTCTGCTCAAAGGAAGAACAACTGAGCCTGTGCTGACCTGGTTTTGTCCCCTCTCACCTCTGTGGTGCCAGCTCCCCCCTCCCTGCTTCAGAGCTGGACCGGGGTCAGTGTTGGTACTGGGGGCTTCGATGTAAACAGATGTGCTGGAGGAGGAAAGGGAGTTTTTGGTATGGAGTTATCCTCCCCTCACATCAGTTGCAAGTGCCTTTTCCTCTTTCTCTCTCATCTCAAAGCCTTTTCCAGGCTGTCCTCCCTCAGTGGAGTGCCCACAGGGTAGGAATGCTGCCCCCCTCTCCATCTGTGGCACCAGCCTTTGCCTTGCAGGGGCTTTGGTGCAGTGCTGTGGTGCCCTGGGAGGTGGGAAACACCTTTGAAATGGTCTTTAAGGCCCCTTCCAACCCAAGCCAGTCTGAGATTCCATGAAACACGAGTGGCCACCGGGGGCTTGGGAAGGGCCACCATCCTCAGCAGATGAGCTGAGCTGATCCTGCCCCTGCACGGGTGCCCCAGAGGGAAAAAAACAACCCAAACCTTGGCTTTGAAACCTTGCCAGCCAGCTGCAGGCTTGCCCGGCTGCTGTTCTCCTTTTACATGTTTTATGGAGTAATTTGTACTATATTTACACAGCAGTGATAAACAGTTTTTAAAATGGAAGCAAAGAAAACGCTGCTGGATGAATTGTTACAAAAAAGCCCTGTTTGCCATTCCAGCAGGGGGAAAAAAAAAGGGATAAAAATCACCATCCTAGGGACATGCTGTTCATCAGATCTGGGTATTTTTTCCCTTGATTTGTGTGCCTAATGTGAGCAGAAGAAGTCGCAGATGCATGCTGAATTCTGCAGGGAACATATGCATGCATTTAAATCATTTACAGCATTTACTGGTGCAATTGTAAAGCACATTATTTTTCTGCATTTGTAATTAGGCTCCAAACAGATGGTGAAGGACTGCAGCTCCTGATTAGACAGGCTTGTGCTCTGTTGGACGGCGCTGCGAGAACAAACCGAGATGAGAAACTTTTCCTGCTAATTTATCACTCCGGGCCGGGGGAGTGCAGGAGCCGGGGCTGCCTGAGCGTGAATTCCAGCGCTGGGCAGAGCTGTGCGAGCCATCCCCCCTTTCCCAGCTCCTCTTCCATCCCAGATTTCGTGAGCCCGGCTCGCTTCACAGCTCGGGACACCCGGCAGGGCGTCTGCTGTGACAAGTGCCTTGGAAATGAAGCAGGAGCTGCGAGGTGAGAAGGATTTTTAAATGAGGAGCAAGCTCCGGGCTCGTGGCTGTGCCGCAAGGGAGATCCCCCCTGGCTGGCCTCGGCTCCGCTCTTCTTGCCACCCTTGGCTTGGCGAGATGGGGAGAGCTTTTGTCCTCTCCTGGGGGCAACCTCGAACCTTGAACAGCCCCACGGGCTCTCCACTGGTCCCTCGCCCTCCTTCCAGCAGTGCAGGAGTCCCCCTTGCTCCCCGCTGTCCCCCGCTCACCCAGGGGACAATTTACGCTGTTTGCCCTTCTTCCTGCGGTTTCTTCTTCTCCTGGCTCACCTCCTTGAATCACAGACGCGTGGACCTGATCAGAAAGGGTTAAAGGGCAGAGCGAGGCAGAAGAGGAGCGCGATGCCAGCCTGAGACCCGCGGGGCTGGAAGCTGTGAGCAGCACAGGAACCCCCCAGGATCCCCCTGAGGCAACAACAGCGTGGCCCAAGTTCCTTTGTGTCCCCTTTGCTGGTTCCCCCCAGGCTGGGGAGATGGGGGTGAGCTTCCCTCGGGTTTTTATCCCGCAGTGTGTCCCAGGGCTGGCCGGGAGGGAGCTCACCTTCCACCTGGCACAGCCCTCTGGTGCTCCCAAAGAGGGAACACGCTGCAAGGGAAGGTGGCCCAGCCGCGGGGGTGATGGCAGGGGACAGGGGACAGGCGGTGGTGTGGATTCTCTGTGCCTGCTCATGGGCTCTCTGTGCCTGTAGATGGCACCTTTTCCTCTGCTGAGGAAGAAGGAAAGGGAAAAAGGCGAGCTGGTGAGGCAGGGCTCAGAGCTAGGAGCGAGGTGCTTCAGGTGTGCGGCGTGAAGTGACTCGGGGTGGTCCCGCAGCTGTCCCCTCTCACTGTCGCTGCTCAGATCACCTGGATCATCGCTGACCCCTCTCCAGGTTTACTAACACTGCCCTGCGCTAGGAAGTCCCAGGGGCTGAGTGAAGAGTGCTTCCAGCTGCTCAGAGAGTTGATCCAAAGGGGTTTTTTTTTTTTACCCTCATTAACTCACTGTGGACCTAACAAGCCCAGCCTGGGGCTGCAGGGTGCTCTCGGTGTCCCTAGCAGGGGACAGGTCCTGCTGGCTCCACAGGGAGATAATTCTGCAAGCAGGCTTCTTTAGGGTGTGCAGAGTGCAGAGCTTCAGGGCCCAGCCAGGTCCTGCAAGGCTTTTTTGTGGCTCACCAAAATCACCTTGGTCCTTCTTGCCATGTGTTGTCACCACAGGAATGCTTGGTCCAGGGGTAGCTCACCTGGGACCCACCTGGAAACACAAGCTGGAAGATCCCTGAGGAAATCCCACAGAATTAGGTCTGTGCTACCAAGATGAGCCCAGTTTCTGCCCCTCCTGCTGTCCCCATAAGATCACCTTACAAAGATGCAATTTGAGACCCCATACTTCAGTATTTCTAAAGGAAAACAAAACCAAACCAGCTGCTCTTTCAGTGCTTTTCTTCTTCAGAGAGAGAATTCCAGCAATCCCTTAACTTTGCTTGGCTTTCTCACCAGCCTCCCTCACTCATAAATTCCTAAACAAACAGTGTGATCCTAATATTGGCCCTAAAATTCTGTGTGAAATGGACCTGGAAATTAATTTCACACCGGAAAAGCCAGCTTCACTGTCAGCCACAGCACAGGTGCTCAGAAAGAAAACTCCAAGATGGCTTTACAAATTAATTCTGTGGATGAGAGGGTAGCAGGTGGGGAGCTGCCTCCCTCACACCACCATCCCAACCCACACTGTACCACAGTGGTGCTGGAAAGCTGTGGGAGAGGGAGGATACCATCAGTCCCCTGGTTTTTGTGGTCTGGGGGGACAAAAATCACCGTGTTAAAAAAAAAAGTGGAAGCAGAGGGGGTGTGGGCTGATTTTTCCTGAGTACAAAAAAGACCCTGCACTTTTACACAGGTCTTACTGGGAAAAAAAAAAATTAAAAAAAATAAAATAAAGCATGGTAATTTGGGGAAGCACTTGCAGGGACCCTTGTGGGAGACTCCTGGGGAAAAGGAGATGCAAAGAAACGACTGATGGCACAATACTGCACGGGCTGGTTGTCAGGCAGGGATGTCCCTGCAGACCCTGGAGCCCACGGCAGGACGTGGTCCATGGCAAGCAGAGATAATTCAGTAGCTTAGCAGGGCAGGATTTTGCAGGTGTCTGTGTTTTACCTGCTTTCCATGTGATATTTCATCTGTGTAGAGACAAAGGGCCACCCCAGCTCTCGCAGCGGAAGGCAGGCAGAGGAGTGAGACACCGTGGGGAGAGCTGGATGCGGGAATGTTCCGTGGCTGGAGGGAAAATGAGAGGGGGAGAAGCCCTGCAGTACAATTTCAAGGTTGAGTGAGTGGTGCCAGGAGGCTGTGAAAGGCTCTGCCGAGC